CGAGCAGAAAATACATGCACCGAATGTTGCTTACCGTGGTCGGCGTGGCGAAAACAGTCACGGTCGATTGTCAGTTTTGCAAGTACATGTCAAATTGTTTTTCTGCCAGATTTTTAAGTGTTTAAACGAAGTGTGAATGGGGTCATTTGCAATTTTGTCTTTCTGAAAGTTAAGCCAAATTTTCTTTTCAAGTTGTGGAACTGGGTAAAATGCGGAACTGGACAAACAACGCTGTACATCATGGAGAGGGGGTTTTCCGATCTTTGCGCACTGAGAGCGTTGCATATGCAAGCCTATGTGTAGCCTTCCAACCAATGGAAAGATTCGTTACGCACTATGTACACGTGCATTGCGCGTAACAAAACCTCCTATTGGTTCATGTTAATATTTGGTCCAGAAATGTTGCATATGCACGTACGTGGGTGCGCAGACGATATGCATGGCAGTGCAAAGTGAAATTTACGAAGAAATTTTATGGTTTCTTCGAGATCTTCATATCTTCACGATCGATCCCTCGACCAAGATGCTATTTTATTTGGGTTCTTATCGGGAATACGTGCCGGTCGGCAAAGTTGATTTGGCAGATTGTGGCGGTCGGCAATTCTGCGTGCCGGTCGGGCCCGACCGGCAGCGGCAGATCCCTGCATGGGGTACTCAATTTCAGTCATATTCCTGAATGCACTGTATACATTTGCAACCCTTTTAATGGGATGATACCACGTGATTTGGGAGGTCCAAATGAAATCTGAAGTTCGAGTCTGGTTCTTCAAATTTAACATTTTCAAATGAATACACTACGCTGGGGAATCTGACTGAAATTAGCTCCCTCGTGAATACCGTCTATACAGGTCCATAGTCACCCAGTTGCTCTCCTTCCGGATGCTGATGTCAAGAAAATTTGCCTGATAGAGGGAATATTCTGAAGTGAACTGGAACAAGGAGAAGCTGTGGATCAAATGCCTCTGGACCTTTCAAAATCGGGTAGCCTGAACACCCAAGAAGGAAACTACTAATTAATACATGTAGTTGAATACTCCGTTCTCTTCCTTGCCTCCAGGTTTGCCTCCTCTACAGACTACCCCTACCCCTTGGGGTCTACTACTTTCCATTCTATTTATTCTTGGATCTATTCCCACCTCACATCCCTTTGTTGTTCAACCATGTCTTCATGCTGTCCTCTTTGTCCCTTTATCCAGCCACCAGCTATGCTTGGTTGATTCCCTGCTTTCTTGTTTTGTGTCTGTCAGTCCACTTGTCATTTTGTCTTTGACAAAGATTCTGCTAGGATCAAACCGATAGGCCCTCCTATTTTTGTGAAAATTTAAAATGTGCACAAAGCTTTAATTTTGTAAACATTTCTGTAATTCTTGTATTTGCATTATTTGCACCTCCGTACCTGAATGGTACAGTCAAAGCTCCATGAGAAGGGCAAAATGGCTGTCAATGGTTATGCTGCTTAGACATCATTTTCTTGTGTGAAAAACACCATTTTCAAAAATGAAACGTTCCTAAAAACACTTGAAATGTTCGTTTAGCCTATGCCTCTATAGTACATTTAAAATGTACTTTGGAGGTCCTGGCAGTGTGTTGATGTTACTACTGAGTGTTAATGGTATGTTGACAGTGATTAGTAAGACCCATTCCTAATGCGCTCTGACTCCATATACATGTACATGTACTGGTACCTGCAGTCAACTACAGTACAAGGTAATGTGGAGTGCATTGCTTCTTCAACGGCAGAACCAGACATTTTAAGCATGTTTTGAGGGATCAGGCAATCTGTGATCCAAATAATGCACTCATACTGTACCAATGCCAACTCAGACCCACACCAACTCAGACCCACACCATCTCAGACTCATGTTAACTCTGACCCATGCAGATTTGGATCCAACCATGACCAACTTGCACAGTTCCAACCATGACCAACTTGCACAGTTCTGACCATGACCAACTTGCACAGTTCTGACCATGACTGAATTGCCATGTGTTGTTTTGTTACTTTTATCCATATTTTGGGACCTCTGTGGTATTTGTTAATATAAATTTGCATATTCATGAGCAAAAACTGAGATGTAATCCCAGGCACCAAACCTCAATGTTGCGCTGAGTTTTCACACTTGGCTTTTGAAAATTTTCATTTCCTTTGGCAGTGTAGATGGTTTATTGTTGTATAAATTTGGCAATAAGCTAGCAAACCACCTTTCTCTATGCTCAAACTCAGAAAAGTTTTCAAACAGCAAATTTGGAATTTCAAATTTAAACATGAAAACATGTGGACTGAACAGCATCTTCCTGGATTTACATCCCACACTAAGCACCCTTATGTCTGAAAAGTTTGGTCAATTTTGATTGTTATTCCTCTTTGATTTCTTCTTCCATGGTCTAACGTTATGGATTCATTTAACAGATGTCGGTCACCTCATCCCATGTCACTTCACCTGGAACCACTTCGCCCCATGCCTACATCGCCCTGTTACCACTTCGTCCCAGCCGTGTTTGAACGTGTTTGGAAATTCTGACACAAACAAGGCACCTTTCTTGTGAGGCTTTTATACTAAACTTTGAAAAATGAAAGAAACAATATAATTTCTTAAAAGTTTCTCCTGTAGTCTTCTGTGTGTCCCCTGTAGACCTTGGCTCCGGCTCCTCTTCCATTTTAATCCTTCCGATTGAGCCACTAACATTAGGCTCTCTTTTTTGAGTCCGTTTTGAAATAAACTTGACTTTTAAAGACAGAAATAAGAACTGCATGTCTCTCCTTTCTATTACCCTTTAGCAAGTATATTCACTTGATACAGTCAAGAATGACAGCAACCCTAAAGTTTTGATAATCATATTTTGGTGAAACCACGAAGGAAGGACACAAACTATGCATGTGCAATTACAATTTCAGCATAACTTAACTCCTTAAGGCGCTGAGGAATTCATTGCATGTAGGCCTATTGTCATGCCGCGTGACGTGAATCCATATTGATAGGATGATCATCTTTATTGTTACATTTTCCTTGGCAAATTGCCTGAATTTGAACCTACATGTACATGTATAGTTTGGCTGGGCACATAAACTGTCAACGTTGCAACCTTCACCGGTAGGTTAAAACTTAATCCATGAAATCCATAATGTTAGATGTTAAAGTTTACATTGGGATGAAGTGGCAATAGGGTAAGGGCGAAGTAGCAATGGGGCAAAGTGGGGCAATGTGACTGTTAAGTCATTTAATGAGGGCACTACTGGCACAATTCTCCAATACAACCATGCACATTTCAATTGGAATTGCTTGTTGGAAACAACCAGACCAGTCTGCAATGAATGGATCTTGGACTTTATTTCCCTTAAAAAAATCCTCCACGGATATGAATCTATCGAAAAGGATAAGAAAAACTTGTATAGCAAGACTACATGCAATCTGATTAAGAAAATTTTTTTTAAAAGGAAGTTAAAAAAGAAAACAATTTCCGCCCACTGTGAGATTCAAACCCAGCACATCACATGGCAGTGTCTGTACGACTGTGCTATCACAATGCCACAACAAGAATGGGAAATTAAAACCTTAGTTGATCAACCATACATGTACACAGGCTTCATACATAGGCCTATGACCCTCATCAACCCTGGGAAATTAAAACCTCTGTTTGGTCATCTTTGCTCTATGGATCAACCATTACAGAGGCTTCATACGTACATACCAATACATGGATGTTTATTATTGATGCTCATCAACCACGAAAATTGAGCTTCATACGTCTGATTGCATATACATGTAGGCCTATATCTCGGGACAGGGGAAAAACAGTTGACTGACATGTATGACTAGACTGATACAATCTACCGACATGACCGTGAATGATGACCGACAATAGCCTAGGCTACTTTGAAAAGGACAAGGCTACGTGCATGACATGACGTGAGTGACTGCCGTCATTATTTTATTGACCAGACATTGCCAGAAATCACTCAGATTTAACGCCGTTCTTCTGTTCGTGTATTTATTCTATCTCAATTTACGTACCTCACTGCAAAGTGTGTGCCAATCCTTTTGGCTCTTTATACTCAGAGAATTTTGCGTCTTCTTTCGGTCAGCAGCTGCCATGTTGATACGTTCGACATTTACGTAGGCCTACATACTGAGTACAGTTATACTTATAGTCTAGTTTGTACCAAAGATCGTATCTTTGGTTTGTACTGCATTTGCTGTGGGCCAGCCCGTCGAAAGATCGGTAACAGAAGAGGAAAATTGCGCCCTCAAGGGTTTGCAAATTAGAACGGAACCATACTATTTATGGCCCCTATCTGTTATGCAAGTCTAATCAAGGAACAATACTGTACATGTACAAGTACAGACGCGTGTACTTTGTGATGCAGAATATGACCGCGAAAATTGAGCACTCTTTGCATGACGTTCTGTAGCGATGTTGTGAACTAGGCCTACATGTACATACATGTAAGCCTGTATTAAAATGGATTTGTCGGATTTCACGAAAGATAATAGTAAGAATGCTATTTTGAAATCAATTATCCCACAAGTTTGTAAGGATGAACCGTGTTGCTTGGGCATTGACGAGGCGGGAAGAGGGCCCGTTCTTGGTAAGTGCAAGTGTTCCCCCTCTCCCAAGCCATAGGCGGAAAAAATGTTGCATCCTGACTCCACTTCAGCAGTTGCGTACAAAATCTATGGGGAGTGAAGAGAATTTTCTATTTCCCAACAACATCGGTAAATGTTTCTCAGTCCAGGATTGGTGTCTTTCCAACATTTCTGTAATGACTGACTTTTATTGAGATGACATATGATGAGAAAAGTGGAGTCAGGATGCAACATTTTTTCCCCACAGGCTAAAGAGTAAACTAGTCCCAACTCTAGTTGGGTCTGTCACAACTAGCCTTAGAGCGCTATAGTTGGGCCGGCCCAACTACAGCACAGAGGTCCAGTTTGCATGTGCCCAGCATGTGCCAAAGTCACATTGTATATATCATAGATGAAGTGCCTTAGATGAATTGTGTCAAGTGTGAGATGCGTAAACCTTTGTTATTTTCATAAAATCTTTGTTCTTATTCATGCCTTATTTCAATGAATTAAAAAATGTTTGTTTCATGTGAAATTTCAAAAAGTTTAAAATTGGAAATTAAATAGAGGAGCTGAAAGAGACATATTTAATTGAACTTCCTATTTTAAGAAAATGAGTTCCCAAATAAACAGCGCCCTCCTTCGGTGTCCGAATTTGGGAGGTGAATTTTCTGTCGGGTGTCCCAGCGCACCCGGCCATATTGAGTTTACAGTGTAATTTGACTTAAGATTTAACAAAGAAGAAATTGACATGCACAGCAACTTGGTTACTGAATCAAAAGTCACACACAAAAGCACTCTCCACCAAGCAAAAATGACCCATGAATGGACAACATTTTAAATAACCAATGACAAAGTGAATACCTGTTTTGTCAAAATGACGTGCATGAGTGGTTTCATTATAGGGATGCCATCCTTACTGACATACACATTATTGAAAAGTAATGATTATGACTTCTTTATTTCGTCCTGTGACATTGATTTCTGCGTAAACTTAAGGCTCATTCTGTTACTTTCTGTGACTTTTGATTCAGTAACCAAGTTGCTGTGCTTGTCAGTTTCTTCTTTGTTATAAAGATAATCACTTACTTTTGGGCATGTACTTAGTAAGGGGTAT